TCATGGGATCCAATGGCTTGGTTCAGGGCCTCAGTCCTGCTTCTTCCCATCTCTCCCTCCCAATCCTTTCCCTGCTTCCTGCTGTCTAACCATCTTCCTTCCTCTTTCCCCCTTCTCTTTTCCTTTCTCCTTTTAGGTGGTTAGGCCTCCCCCCTCCCCCTTTTTGCCAGTGATTCCACACAATAATTAAGTATTTAAGTGTGATGGACAATAGGCTTGGTGATATGGCAGTCACAATGTAAATCAGACAAGGTCTCTGCCCTTGAAGGAGCTCAAGGGTAGAAGGATTTGGATAATACATGAGGGAAGGGGAGAGGGCAGAGTAGTGGGAGAGATGACAGAAGAGGGTGGAAGATAAATTTGGGTCAGATAAGGAGGGCTTTAAATGCAGTGTATATTTTTAGAGGAAGGTGAAAACTATGATCAGTTTGGGATAAAACACCATTAATAATGTTTTAAGGAAATTACAACAGTAGTTATATGCAATGTGGAATGAAGGGAGAAGGAATGGAGGCAGATGGACCACAGGAAGCAGTTTGATATAGTGTAGCCTTGTCTCAAACAGGACACAGGGGTTGGGGTGAAGGGGGAGGAAGCAGAAGACATTCTTGGTTGCTTGGTCAAACTTTCCCCCATGTCCCACTTCATCAAGATTCTTATTACTCTTCCCTGTCTGTCCAGGGTGAGAATCAGGATTTGAGTGAGCCTTTGTTACTGATGTGTGTGTGTCAAATTCCTCAGATGTACTGGAAAGGAAAAAAATTGGGAACAACTGGCCCAGCATATAGTAAGCATTTAGTAGTACTTGTGGAATGACTGGATATATGAATATGCACTGGTCTTGGACCTGGAAGGCCTTGATTCAAGGCCCACTTTAGACATTTTCATCTGTGTGCCCTTAAGAAAATCCCCAAACCTGTTGGGCCTCAGTTTCCTCCTCCACACATGAAAAGTCAGACAGTAAAATATATATATATATATATTTTATCCTCACCCGAGGACATTTTTCCCAGATAGAGTGTGTGTGTGTGTGTGTGTGTGTGTGTGAGAGAGAGAGAGAGAGAGAGAGAGAGAGAAACATTGATGTGAAAGGGACACATCTAGTGGCTGCCACCCTTATGACCCAACCAGGGCTGGGGACAAACTGCAACCGAGGTACATGCCCTTAGTGGGAACCAAATCTGGGTCTCTCGGGACCTCAGGCTGCCACTCTAACCACTGAGCCAAACCAGCTAGGGCCAGACAGGATATTTTTATAAGCTCCTTCCAACTATATGTTATTATGAGATTCTGTGTGATTGTCACAGCCAAGGTGTTCATGTATGTGGAAGGGATGGAATGGACTGAGGTATTGGCAATAGGCATAGAGAGGATAAATGTGGGGAGTATTTTAATAGGAAAAAATCAACATCTTCTGGCTTCAGTTTTCAGCAATACTGTTGGACAGATAACCCCAAAGCCCTCCTGCTACACATTATGTGGACTGATTCACAAAATATAACAGGCACCTGAAATGCTTAGCTGAACTTGCAAGAAAGGAAAGAAAATCTACATAAACCAAACAAAGGAAGTGAGACCAAGAATTGTAACCATGAGATAGATGTGCTGTGACTAACCCCAGGAGGTATGGGGAGAAAGGAATATTACTTGTCTGTCCTGACCTGGGTCCTGCTTAGAGTAGGAGGAGTTGCCTCTGAGAATTTATAACTGTGTGAGTTACAGTTTGAACTCAGCACCTGCATGGTACAGGAACCTCAGGCAAAGAAATTAACATAAAGATTGGTCTCCAGCAGTTGATACTCTTGGAATGCCTGGTACAAGCAAATACATAATTGCTCAGGAGAAACATACCCTCAACCCAGGCCACAGAAGATTACTGCCCAGGTAAATCCCCACTGAAGATTAGTTCACAAGATAAAAATTACAGTACATAAAAGGAAACAATGTACCATGAATGAGAGTAGGTAAGACCCTGAAGAACTTCAGTGAAATACAACAGGTCTAGGTGACAGCATGGGTCGGGGGAAGGGGGTCAAAGGTGAATCTCACAGAAGAACTGTAATTATTTTTAAGTCTAGGGAACCAAACAAATGATGGTCACCATTAGCAGAAACTGGGTACAGTGTATATGGAAGGATGATTTTATTTTAGACAGATTGTATTTGAAATGGCGGTGGGATACTCATATGGAGATGTGCATTGGTCAGAACCAAGAGGCTGCAGCTGGGGTAGGGACCAGGGCTGCCTGACTTAAAAGTCATCTATGTAGCAGTGACAGATGAAGGCTTGGGAATGAATGTGCTCTCCAAGGAGAGTATTGAAATAGGGAAGGAGAGAGCTCAGAACCACATCTGGGAAACACCCACATTTTGAGGATCAAATGAAACAGAGAAGCAAGTAAAGAAAATTAGCTTTCTGGTTGTGTCCTGGGTTTGGATCAATTTTCTGATTGTTTGATTTTAACTCTTTCCATCTACTGCTTAACATTCTTTCCCCTCAGAATCCCTAGGGAACAGTCCAGAAAATTCAGCAGTTTTTCTTGGGAGTTACAGGAGGGACTTAACTTCGAGTCCTAGAACGAGGCTGGGCTCTGGTACCAGCCCTACTACTACTAAGTCAATTTTCTCTGCAGTGATATTTAGCCTAGATAGGTGTGAAGACCAGATGGGGCACAACAGGGCAGATAGTACTTGATGGAATGCTACTGAAGAAGGCAAGGACCAGTGGTTAGATGCCACCCACCTGTCTGCCCTTCTTTCTTTGTTCAGGTTGTGTGTTTTGAACTAGTTGCTTGAAATCTGGGCCTTTGTGCTCTTCCTCCCCTATTCTGTATGGAAAGTGAAGTCAGGTCGGTGCCTGTAAGTGAAAGGTGTGGTCACTTAAACCGCTTAAGTGAATGGATCACTAGTCTATTACAATACCTGTCTGTTCACCATTTGAGCCTTTCTCTAGGGTTAAACATTGCCCTCTGGAGGCCACTCTTTTAAAATGTTACCTCTCCTCAAAGAGGTAATATCGAATCCTTTGTCACAAATTGGTTTATTAGATACAAGATGTTTAACCACGTGAAAGCACCTAACATCTGGGGAGAGAAATGGGGGGGGCGGATTCTTTGACTTGATAATTTTGTCTCTGGTCAACTGAACTGCAGGGGTGCAGGGTGAGTATATCTGAGAGTAAAGGGTGAGCATGTCTGAGAGTGAAGAAGCCACAGGATCATAAGCGGGATTGATCTGACACCACAGGATTGTAAGGCTCTCTTAATACAAGAAGAGCACACCTTGGCCCTGGTTGGGTAGCTCAGTTGGTTGGAGCATCATCCTGATATGCCAAGGTTGTGGGTTCAATCCCCAGTCTGGACACATTGGAATCAACCAATGAATGCATAAATAGGTGGAACAAGAAATCCATTTCTTTCTCTCTTTCTCTCTCCTTTACTTTCTGTCTCTAGAAATAATTTTTTTTAAAAAAGACTTAAAAAGAAAAAAATATAGCACACCTAGGAAGAGAAAAGGATGAATCCCCCAGACAGGCCCTATCCTTTGCTTAGCAGACAGGAGTAGCTGGGAAGGAGAGATGGGATGTACGACAGGCTTTTAATGCCCCAAGTTCTGCCCAAGGTGGCCAGAAAGAGTGTAAACGTTTTTGGGTTGGGAGTTTAGGGAGTGAAGGGGGTCTAGTGAAACTCTACTTTCCCCATCATAGGATCATGCTTTCCTCACCACCCTCTTAGCTGTACCTCCCCCATGTACCAAAGCCATAATGGGGTTCACCTGGAGGAGAGTTAGACAAAAGGAGCTGTGGCAGGTGCAGAACTAGACGGTAAGGGGGCTGCTGCCTCCTGGAGAAGAACCTTTGTGGAAAGAGCAACTAAGGTGGCTGTGAGCCTCTGGCAACCACACTTTCTTGTCTAGGCTTGGCTCTGCCCATCAGTAGTCTAGAATGCTGAGTCCCTTTTGACACTGACAGCATGTGATTCTCATGCAGATGTTTAGGCAGTTGCTGGAGCCTCTGTTGACATTCAACATACTGGGAGTTCACAAACAGCACTGAAATACTGTAGTCCTCTGCTGCTGTCGCTACTGCCTGTGGCTCCATCTAGTTGTGTAACCTATTTCACCTCTTGGTAGGAAGGCTTTCCAAACAGTGCTATTAAGCTGAGGTGCTGCCATTCTGGGGTTGGGGGAGAAAAAGCACTGGCTTTGGAGCCAGACTGATCTGAGTTTGACCCTTTCTGTTCCTATCTGGGTTAACCCAGAAAGTTAACCACGTTGCTTCCAGAATCTTTGAGATGGAGTATACGACTGCTGAATTTAGGATTGTGAGAATTAAGGAGGATACTATATTCACAACTTCCAGAAACACCTTGAGCCCTTAGGCTAACTGTGATTAAATTCACTTGTTAATTCAATACATATTTATTGAATGCCTACTATGTGCCACAGTGCCTGACAGTAGGTGGGTAATGACTCCATGGGTGTGAGGAACTCCTTTCTTTTCTGGCACATATTGAGGTGTGGGGGACGGGGGGAAGGGTCAGGAGCTTGGATGGCAGATTCAGTAAGCTTTTAGCACAATAATTTTAATTGCAAAAATAAACAGTTTTGCGAACTGCTTCAGAGTAGCGTCTGCTTTACAAAAATTAACAACAAAAAAGGAAATAACCCCAAAGCAAAACGTTACATCCAATGGCTGCTGGAAACGACATTGCTGTACAAAACACCGCTCGAGACCGGCTCGGCGCTGCCCCAGCCTGTCTCTGGGGGCGAGGGGGTGGTGCTAGGGGACCGCGTGGGGCTTGCGCCAGGTACAAATCACTCTTGAGTCCCAAGGAAATGCCTACTCAGTGGGTGGCCTGAGAGGACTACCCTCAACAAGCCCGGCTGACGCAGAGACAGAGCCTGGACGGCGGGAGCTGTCCACGGAGCCGGTGCTGAACAGGGCATTTGCGGCGGGCGCTTCGCCTGAAGTTGGAAACGGGACCAGAGGCCAGCCCCGGGGCGTGCGGGAAAGAGGAGCGGGGAAGGGGGACGGGCCTGGTCTTCCCTGGCGCGCGGGGCGGCGGCGCCTCAATCTACAAACTTATTTCTCCCTCACAGGGCGGCGAAGGAGAGGCCCAATGAGTAAAAGCCGAGGCCCTTGAGCCGCTCCTCTGCGCGCGCCTTCTGTTTGAGGTGCACCTTGCTGTGCCGTTTCTTCTCATCACTGCGTGCGAAGCGGCGGCCGCACACGTCGCAGGCAAAAGGCTTCTCGCCAGTGTGGGTGCGCACGTGTGTGGTAAGGTGGTCGCTGCGGCTGAAGTTGCGGAGGCAGATGCGGCATTGGAAGGGCTTGTGGCCGGTGTGGATGCGCAGGTGGCGGTTGAGCTCATCGGAACGCGCAAAGCTGCGCACACAGCTCTCCACTGGGCAAGCAAAGGCCTTGGTGTGTGGCCGCGGGCAGAAGCAGCGTGCGCTGCACTTGCCGCCCCGGCGCCCCTTGCGCCGCGCCTTTACTGGGGGGAATGGGACCGGTGGCCCAGGAGGCTCAGGCACGCCACTGCTCCCAGGGATGTCTGCCACTAGAGCTTTTGAGAAGTCCGCCGTGGCGCTGCGGAGGCCCAACGGGGAAAGCTGAGGCTGCGTACCGGTCAGAAACTCTCCGCCGTCTCCGCTACTCCCTCCATCCCCACTAGGAGGGGTCAGGAGCCCCGGGAGGCCCTCGGCCCCTTCCCCTAAGTTACCCAAGGCCAGCGGGAAAGCGTCGTAGGCCCCGGCGGGGTAGGATCTGTTGGCCGAGTCGGCCGGCAGCTCCGCGGGACAGCTGATGGACAGCAGATCTTCAATCTTGGCCCCCAAGAGGGGGAAACGGGCCTCGGAGGTGGCCTGGTAGTCTCCCTGTGAACCACAGCTCCCTGGGGCCCCAGCTGAAAGCAGCTCCCAGGAAGCGTAGGGACCTTTGAAAGCCGAGTTAGTGTCCAGCGCTGGAGAGGCCGGGGGAGCCCGGCGGCCTGGTTTGACGTCGGGTGGGGAGAGCTGAGGCTCATACAGGCACTGCGAGGGGGCGCCAGCCGAGGGTGAGGGCTCCCAGAACGCATCTGGGAAGGCTGCAGCGCCCAGATCCGGGGAGTAAAGGTCCGGTGGACCCGGCAGCAAGGCGTCGGGGCCTGAGGGAAAAGCGTCCAGTGGAGACCGAGATGCTGCCACATCAGGACCGGGGAAAGGTGCCAGGCCTAGGATGCCCGACATGAGGTTGAAGAGTGACTCTGGGTCGTGCGGGTGTTCGGGCACTGCCTGGATGAAGAAGCTACCGCTATAGCTGAGGCTGGGAGGGGGTGTGGGCGCAGGCCCCTCCAGGAAGCAGGAGTCGGCTAAGTCCCCGCTGGCACCGCAGCTGCTCAAAGCCCAGCTCAAGAAGTCGCCTGCTAAGGAAGGAGCAGGAATCAACTCCGGGCACATAAAAGGGAGCGCCTCGGGTCTGCAGCCCCTACCCAAGGGTCCCTTGATGCGCACTGACACATATAAAGTGCCTTTTTGCACATTCTGATCCAGGTGGAGCAGGCATGTGCCCCAAGATGCACACAAAACATGCACACGCAAAATACACGTGCACAGGGAAAAAAGACACCTTGATACACGCACAATTTCCTGCGGAGGCGCTGGCAGCCCGGTGGGGGTAGCAATGGCGGTACGCACCCCAAGACCCCAGAGCTTCCTACGACCACTACCCCCACACCTACTGCATCCCAGTCCCTGCCTGTCTCAGGCACCATACGCCCCCGCATTGCGCCGCCGTCTGAGCACCCTTGGTCGCGCTCCTTACCTCCGGGATAGCCAGCGGCCGCGTCCCTGGCAGGCAACCGGGGCAGTTCGGTGCTGGGTTCCGAGCAACAGCCCTCAGCGGACTTGACCAGAATCGCGTCAGGAGCGGAAAACTCGCTAAGGTGGAGCATGGTGCGGCGGTGGCCGCGGGGGGCCGGGGGGCCTCGCCCGCTGGGCTTGGGAGCGCGCGTATGGCAGGGAGTCCGGCAGTCAGGGCGCCCCGCGACTCGCAGACCCAGGCACCCGGGATCCTGGCTGCGGGCGCTCACCCCTGGAAAAGGGGTTGGGAGGCCGTGGCGCCCTTGCTCGTCGGGACCGGCCTCAAGCGGCTGCTCTTCGCCTCTCTAAAGCGCAGCCGGGCTCCCCCAACCCGCAGCCCCCCCTACTTATATAGCAGCGGTGGCGCTGGCTCAGGGCTTCCGACTCCCGGGGCCACTGCCATTTCGGGAGGCCCCGGCCCTGCCGCCGTGACGTAAATGCCCAAACATGGACACAGGATGTGTGCCGGGGACTCCCGAAAAGGAAAACTCGGGCTGTGACGTCGCTGCCGCCGCCGCTGCTGCCGGGCCCGCGCCCCTGCGTGCGCGCGCGCTCCCTGAACGTGGAGCCCCGTGAGCGCAAGGGCTGTGGGTACGCCCGGCTGGGGCGCCGAGCCGCGTGGGGATGGTCGTCTAGTAAGTGTACTTCCCGCCTAGAGGCAGAGGCCGAACGGCGAGGAGGAAAGACCACGTGGGTTTCTGGTTCCACGGTTTCGGGATCGAATCCATTCTTTGCCATTATTAGCTGTGTCTTAATCTCTGTGAACGTCGGTTTCCTCACCTGTTAAATAGAGATGTGTATACATGTATACTTAATAAATTTTCTATAGCCCTGGCCGGTTTGGCTCAGCGGTCCAGAAAGACCCGGGTTCGGTTCTCGCTAAGGGCATGTACCTGGGTTGTAGTTTGTCCCCGGCCCTGGTTGGGTCCTGTGGGTGGCAACCACTCGATGTGTCCCTTTCACGTCGATGTTTCTCTCTCTCCCCCTCCCTCCTTCCGACTCTGTCTGAACAAAATATGGAAAAATGTCCTCTATCTGAACAAAATATGGAAAAATGTCTTCTATCTGAACAAAATATGGGAAAATGTCCTCGGGTGAGGATTTAAAAAAAAATAAAAAATAAATTTTCTATAAAGAGTAGTTGGGTTAGAACATTATGTTCTAGGCACTGGCGTACTTAGTAAACCAGAGAGATTATTGCCATTATTAGTTATTTGATCACATCTGTTTGTTTTTATTTTCTTAATAGTTGTTTTAGTTTATTCTGGGAAAAACAACTTATTTAAATTATAAAGGACCGCACAACGTGCTAATGGTAAGAGAAAAAGTCAATTAGTACCTAAAGGTATATTCTCAATTGAAAAGTTAAAGTCTCTCTTTACCCTACCCACCTACCTTCTGAGGTAGCCACATCTAAGTTTCTTGTGTATTCATTCAGAAAAAAATTATGCATATGTAAGAATACACACTACCCTACAATATAATGTTTCCCATTTATAATAGCTAAGAGGTTGTTCCATGTCCAAACATAAAGAGCTTGGTCAGTCTTTTCTAAGGTTGGATAATAGTCCTTGGTAAAAGAGATCAATTTGTCTGCTATCCATGATCATATAGGAAGTTTCCAACCTTTTGGGATAAATTCCAATGAGTGTAAATTTTGGTCAAATGGTATGTAGAATTTTGATGGACACGTGGCAAATTGTCCTCCAGAGAAGGCCAATTCCTGCTCACTCTTCCTTCCCCTGAGGGTAAGAGATAATTCTGTAGAACTTTTTTCTGCCTCCAAATAAATGACTTACTCTAGGGATGTTGTTCCCAGCAACACACAGAGGACCCACAGGATATATTTCCCTGGAACCAGTACTTGGAATAATTGGGTTCCTTCTGAAAAACTTAAAACAACAACGTCCCTAACCTTATGGAGGCTGTGAATCTTGGCCAAATGTCAGTCAACTCCCTCAAAGAAACCTGACTACTCTCCTGATGTCATCCTGCTGTGGTTTCCCGTCTGTCTTATTTTCTCATCTTAATTTTTTTTTTAAATTTTATTTTGTGTTATAGCTCACTTAACTTCTTTCTGGAACCAATGTAAGGGATTGAATAAATACATGGAATAGCATATTTTTCTTTACGAGGAGCATCAATTCTTTGGACTCTGGGTGCTGGAAGGTGGGGAGGGCAGGCCTGGGGTTCCCTCCTCCTTCTCTACTTTCCTAGGAATGAGAACAAAGCCATTCAGGGGTGATGGCTACCCCCCAGCCTCCTTTGCTGACCAGTGCTCTCCAAAAGTACCACCACATTCTCAGGCCTTTCACCCAATATCCATTATATAAACATCAATTTCTCAATGTTCATTCATTTAAAATTCATTCCTTAAGTGTTTACTATGGGCCATAAGGTAGATTTTGGTTTTTATTCTTTCAGAACTCTGAGACGCCACTCCATTCTTTGCTGCCCCATTCCCCAACCCACAAGTGTGTTCTTGGAATATATTATTACATGATCACCTGCAAAACACATGGGGACACACTTGCATTCCTCTTCTTGTGTCTGGAAATCATGCAAAGGGTTTCTCAGAGTCATGCACACACAGTGTGTCCTAACAAATGCCACAGATACAGTTCCATGTTAGCAGCACATGTGTTTGCATGTAGGAAATGCAGAAATCAAGCACATGTCTTTAATGGTCAGACAAACTGAGCACTATTTCTTTTAAACTCTATTTCAGACCCGAATTTGATTCTAATCCAAATGCATCGCCAAGACCAGGTGAGCCCACACCAGACACACAGGGCACACATGTCTCAAATCCATTCTGGCATTCTGCTGCCTGGGAGGGAGGGGGAGTAGAGGGGTTTGGCTAGGCAGGTGTCCAGGGCTCCCCAGGTTTCCCCGTCGGGCCAGATTGGCCAGCCCCAGGTTCCCTGTCCCTTCTGTTGTTCTTCCCTCTGCCACAGCATTCCTCCTCCTTCTTAGTCATGGATAATTTCCCTCCTCCGTTGGCAAATCCCAGGCTATTACTGCTCTCTGCCAAGGGCCCTTGAGCTAGGTCTGCATTAAGACAAGGGTCCAACTATTTTCTCTTGGTAGAGGTCAGGCCTAGGGGGCAGAGCTGGGGAGGGAGAAGTGAGTAGGAGAGATGAAGAACACAGCTTGTGCTCTGGGTGTGGGCTGGCCCACACCCCCATATCTGCACCACTCTTAGTGGACATACAAACACTCGTGTACACGGATGGTTACCCATGGAGGGCTGTTGCATCTGCATTTGGTTCCTTGAGGAGAAGAAAATATAAAGGGTGAATGGACATTTTGTGGTCCTTCCCAGCATAGCTCCTCTTACCCCCTCCCTAATTTTAACAACTTAAAAAGAGATTCTGGGCCCAGATAGAATAAAGATAATTGGAAGGAGGTGGAAGAGAGAGGAGCATAGACCTATGAGCTCCACTTTAATTCACACTTCAAATATAAAAACCCAAATTTGCACAATGGAAAAAAGGGATATTACATACATTGAGCACTTTACAAACATCATTTAATTATCACAAAAGCTCTGTGGAGGAAGGATTTGGAAACCCATTCCACAGATGAGGAAACAGACTCGGAGAAGGTTAAATAACATGCTCATGGCCACACTTCTATTCAGTGGTAGGACTCAGAGTCAAACCCAGGCTTGCCTACTTCACAGAATAATTTCAGAAAAGATAATTCATTTTACAAAAGGATTCACTCTAGGATGACTTTAGATGGAGGCTCTCCTCTAGCTTTTCAAGTAGGGTATGATGTGCAAACTTGATCTGGCTGGTGTCCATCCTTGCAAAAATTCCCTGGAATGACTGCCACGAATAGCAACACTATGGGTCACATCAGACACATGCTGAGCAGTGCATTCAAGGCCCCTAGAAGCCAGTGTGAAAGTTGTTGTTGGTGTTGCTGTTGTGTTGTTGGTGGTGATGGTGGTGTTGGTGTTGGTGTGCGTGCGTGTGCGTGTGCGCGTGCGGGTGTGGCCTTGGGTGCTAATTTCCATAGCAAAAGGTCAGAGAGGGAGAGTTTACTTTCTAGAAAAGCATTGAACAGACAATTAATGAATGAATTAATGAATGAACAAATTCATTCATCAAGTGTTCATTGAGCACAGCCCTGTGCCAGGTGCGTGAGGGCCCTTCAGATGCTGATGCCATAGTGGAAGAGGCTGGAAGCTCTGGATCCAGGGAGAGAGGAGAGGAGGGAGATCAGGAGGAGCGATCCTCCCTCTCTCTCTTCTAGGAAGGGCCCAGCCCCTGTCATCAGTTCTGGTAATGCTACTGCCCCTCCCCCTCCCCACCTTGATCTTTCTGCTCTAAATATCATTGTTCAAATAATGGTGTATGTATTTTAAAAGACTCTAAGAAGACAGCTGCCTCTGAGTATTAATCATGAAGAGGCCAGCACTCAGTCTCCATGGCGACTCCTGACAGAGAGCAGGAGAGCAGTTCCACATCCCTCTTTCTGGGGCCATGGAGATGCAGGAACACAGCATCTCTCAGCCTTCTTTTTCCTCTCTGCTTCTCCTCTTTCCTCCTTTCCTCTCCATTCTTCTATCTTCCCCCTCCACTCCTTTTTTTGTCTTTCTGTAGGATTTATTTACGAACAGGGACAGAGGCAGGATCCAGCCATCAAAATAACAAGAAACAAGGACAAGGCTGCAGCAGAGATGGAATTTGCCTCCAAATGCAACCTCTGCAGTACATGACTCCCCTCCTCAAGGCCCCTGCAATACCCCTAGGCTGCATTGACCACTAGGGCAGAAAGAGTCTGATCATCTGTCCCTGAGGAACAGGACTCATATCAGGGTCCTTCCCTGTGCCCTCCCTCTTCCCTGCCCATGGCCAGGCATTGGTTTATGGTTTGAATCCTTATTGTTTTTATTATTTTTATTTTTTTATCCTCACCCGAGGACATTTTTCGACATTTTGTTCAGATAGAATGGGAGGGAGAGAGACAGAGAGAAACATCGACTTGAAAGGGACACATCGAGTGGTCGCCACCCACATGACCCAACCAGGGACGGGGACAAACTGCAACTGAGGTACGTGCCCTTAGCGGGAACTGAACCTGGGTCTCTCCAGACTGCAGGTTGACGCTCTAACCGCTGAGCCAAACCGACCAGGGTTATTATTTTTTAATGCCTACAAAAGGAATATAGGCTTATTGGACTAAGACAAACATGTATATATACCCAGATATATACATTTAAATCCTTTCAGGTTGATTCCTATAGAGTTATTTTTCATGCATATTTATTCAACATTCATCTATTCAGTTGTAGCATCATCATTATGTATACTAATGGTAGCATGCTATACATACTCTTGTAATTAACATTATACCTTGAATTGTTTTTCTTTTCCCCTAATAATGGTACAG